GCCACTGCCCGCAAACACACACACACACACACACACCAACACTAACACACACTCTGACACACATTCATATAGTCTGGGTTACCAAAATCGACGTGATGTTATATTATATGGAAACACAATTTGCTCAATGTCTGCCGCCGCATCCGCCGCATCGAAGTCTTCGTCGTCGCCGTCGTCGTCGTCGTCGTCGTCGCCGTCGTCGTTGCCGTCGCTGCTTCACCGTCGGGTGCCGCTGTCAGCTTCAAATAATTCTCGAGGGCGTGGGCGTGTCTGTGTGTACCATTCTGTGTGTATGTGTGTGTGTGTGTGTGTGTGTGTATGCGTGTGCTTGTGATCGTCGCAGTTTTGTGGGCTGTTACTGCTGCCATTTTGTGTGACACAGCTGAAATCCAGCAAATATGGCCCCAACCATATGCCCCAGCTGGCGATGTACATAGCTGGCGTCATATACCTAAATAGTTTTATCTCTCTATACATACATACATATATACATACATATATAAATATCCATATATATGTATATACGTATGTATGCATGCATATTTGTGTGTATTATCGTAAAAAGGAACAGTGGGTGCACTGGGCCTGCTAATGGCATGGATACACTCACAACATTCTAATGATATACAACTAAAGTAAATACTATAATTAGTGCTAGTGCATGATGATGATGAAAATCAAGAGGCAGAAGAGATTGCCAATGGAGAATACAAATAATACCACATGGGGAATATGTTTGACATGATAGTGATAGATACAATTTTAATATGACTATTGTTATTAGGAGTGATAGAGAATTTTTAAAATAGTTGTAGTTATTACTTTTACTAGGGTTTATTAATTGAAATTTAGAAAAAATTTTTTTTGTTCCAAAATTTTTAGCTGTTTATTTTATCTATTTTTTATTTCTTTAAATATCTGTTTAGTGATATATGAATAATATATTTACATATATATTTAAAATATGCAACATTAATTGGATAAATAAAAATAAAAATATTTATATATATTTTGCTTAAAATTGTTCCCTTAACATAATATCAGATAATAATAATATTATAGAAGCAACACAAAATTTAAAATATATATCTTAGAGGTAAATTTTGAAAGCCACAATATCTGAATTTTGAAAAGAAAAGTAGTTTTTATATCATTTTTAGTATATTTTTAAAAAGGTTTGGCTACATAGCAAATCGTATTATTATACATTAGCCCAAATCATACTTACGTATACGTTATATATTCGTTATATATGCTAACCTCTAGGCCTACGTCTATAAACCCTAAACCAACCGAGTTAATATTATTTTCAAATTTATTCTTTACAATTTGTAGCTTCAACTTTTCGATTCAGATGTTTGTAACCCATTTAATTTGCCACGGATTATTAATCAATTCGCATTGCACGCTTGAAATACTAACCGTAAATGCTCACACTCTCACTCTGACTCCGACAATGCAATTATAAAACTTTAATCAGCCGCTAAACCAACTTCGAAAAGCAACAAAAGCGCGCCGCAGAAAACTCATAAAGTGCACAGCACAACGCATGGCCGCAGCAGGAGTACGGAGCACCGTTTGACTCCTGCTGGCTGAGCGCTTTTCAAATGAGAAATGGAGCAAAGGAGAAAGGAAAGTTTCCATTGCTCTGCGCCACACCCCGAATGCAATAACAATGGTGGGAATTCAACACAAAGCTGAATTAAAAGTGAAAAAGTAGGCGGCCAGTTGCAAAGGCCTCTCGAGGCGGCTCAGACACCGCCCCCTCCCGCCACCGCTATGCGATAGTAATTGGGGTTGAGTGGACTAGAGTGCCGCACCCTGGACGCGCACGGCTCTAACCTCGACGGAATTGGCGTTCGTTTGTGCAGCAGCGCGTCTCGGATTTCCAACTGGCGTGAAAATGGTATATAATCTGAGAGAAACTCACCTGGCACCGATGAGCAGGCTGTTGCCGTCCTTGGTGACGAGCTTGAAGTGATCCACGACGCTCTCGTTGCCCAGAAATTTCAGTATATCTTCTGGACCTGCAAAATAGTTGACAAAAAGAGAAAAATATTAATATTTGCACTTGGCTTAAGTTGGTCAAAGAACGAGAGAGAGTGAGGGAGTGAGAGACAGAGAGAGAGAGAGGTGGGTTGGTGGGTCTGGCTGCAAATGCCTAATTAGGCAATTAGGCGTCGTTAAAGACGACAAAAAGCCAGGCTAAGGGTTGGCCAGGGCTGAAACTAAAGCGAAATGCTAAAGAGCTGAAAATGGCGTCGCCAAGGCACGGAAAAACAATGCAGCTGCCACGAGCAGGGGACGGGGGCCTGAAGGTCTATAGTGGAGGCAGTCGTAGTTGTAGGTGTAGTGGTTCGCGTGTTCCTTGGCTGATATGCAAATGGCGCCCGAGCAGGGACCCAGAGCTACAAAAGGCAGCCAATGCAGGCACAAAGGATTGCCCGTTTAGCAGCAAAAACAGGACAACAGCAGCAAAGTTTTTTGTCATTTGTTTACTTTAGCTGTTCGCATTTAGTTGGTCCTCGCCGCGCCGTCTGGGAGAAGGAGCAGCAACCACTGATAGTTGTCAGCTGCCACAAACTGAGCTACTGCCGGCTGATAAACTAGCTAAAAGCCATCAAGTACTTAAATCTCCCAGGGACTAGTACTCGGTAATTACGATGGCGAGGTGTAATGTTATGGCTCCGCTCTGCTCAGTTGCAGTTGCAGTTGCAATTGGAGTTGCAGTTGCTAATGGCAATGAGACTGAGCCAAACTTAACGGCACCGGTGTCACGACTATATCTTCCAAGCTAAACTTTAATTCTTAGCTGTCACACAAATCTCTTGAGCTCTGAGTAAATAAACAATTCACAGAGTGTGTCAAGTGCTTGGTTTGGTAAGAAAATTTTAATGCAGCAGCGATATTTATGAAATAGTGCATATATTTATATGTTTACGTATTTATGTATTTTAGTTATAAAGCTGCATTAATATATCCAAATGGCTTTTATATACCTCTTGGAGGCGTGGCAACTACTAAACCAGAACAAAATTCATCTGTTTGTGAGCTGCGAATGAGTACTATGTAGCCGACAGCTTGTTATTGTAGCTCCTGAATTCTAAAACTAAATTATGGAAAAGTCTTCCATGACATCTTAAGCCAATTTCTTAAAAATATATAAATACCACTAGTAAGCTTTTTAGAATTTCTGCTTGAATTTTTCTCGAATTTTTGTTTTCTTCCGCTTGATTCTATGGCAGCAATAAATAGCTGCAAGTTTTATGTTTACCATGAAAAGAAGCATTTCCCAGTATGAGAGAACAATTTTTAATGAGGTTTACTTAAGCTTCTCTTTGTCGCTAATAGAGATCCAACAAAGATTTCTTTTCCTTTCATTTGCTTTTTGCTCATTACGAGAAATGCCCTTGGCCGCTTCGTTTGTCCGGCAGCTTGCCTTAAATTCTTTTGCACTCGATAAACATGACTCCATTTCAGTGGGCAACCTTTGAATATACATATACTATATTCCACCATAATGGCCACGCCCTCGCTCTCACTCCCGCCCACGCCCTCGCTGGCGCATCATTACGGATAACGTAACACGCCTTTTGTCAGTCGCTTCGTTTGATCAATGATGTCAGGGTGAACTTTTTGCAGCCGGCTTTTAACTTTGACTGCAAGCGGTCAACCACAAAGAGCGAAAAAGTTTTCAGCGTCTTTTTTTTTCTCTCTGTCCTTGTTTTTTATTTCTGATTCCTGGCTGCGCATTCTGCGGACAGCAGCGGCAGCAGCAGCTGTAGCAGACATACGGGAAGCAGTTGGCCAACTGGTTGCAACCTGGTTATTGAAAGCGCATTTGGATGCGCGTTTTAACACGTTGCACTCTGCTGTAGTCGCTTGCCAAACGACTAACAAAAAAAAAAAAACAAATAACAAAAAAAAAAAAAAAAAAA